CAGCTTTTTCTGCTTATGTGGTGCTGAGGAATCGAACCCAGGGCCTCAGGCATGCAAGGCAAGCGCTCTACCACTGAGCCACCTTCCCAGCCCCCGATGAGATTTTAAAGCCAGCTGCACCCCCAAGCCCCTCCATATTTTAGCTGTGTTTCTGCTTCTCCTCGGGCACTAAGGTAGCAGGTGATGGGAGCCCTGCTGCGATGCTGAAGCTCCTACTACTGATTTGTGAGGCTGGGTTTCCAGTGGTCCATAGAGCGTGGCCCTTTCTCATCCGTCAGTGTCTTAGCATTATTTCACTAGAAAGCTTTTCCTAGATTTATTAATGTAGGTCCAGTCTCTGAAACCTTCATTAAACTTGCAGATGTAGCAGTAGAATAGTGACTTTACAGAGATCCATATTGCTTTTCCAAGGTTCTTTTTTTCCCCCTTCCTCCTTTCTTTTATTTTTTAGTAGTACTGGGGGTTGAACTTTGGGCCTCACACTTGCCTGTCAGGCACTCTAGTATTTGAATATACCTCCAGTGCCTTTTTGCTTTGGTTAGTTTTAGATAAGGTCTCATTTTATGTGCTTTCCTGTGGAGCTGGGATGATAGGTTTGTGGCACTGTGCCCAGCCAGTGTGCTTCCCTTGTAGCTGGGGTAACAGATTCTTGCTGTTGTGCCCAATCGTCAGTTGAGATAGAGCCTCAGAAACTTTTTTTTGATCATGGGGCTTGAACTCAAGGCTTGGGCATTGTCCCTGAGGTCTTTTGCTCAAGACTAGCTCTTTACAACTTTGAGCCACAGCTTCACTTCTGGCTTTTTTGGTGTTTAATTGGAGATAAGAGTCTTACAGACTTTCCAGACTGGCTTTGAACTGTGGTTCTCAGAACTCAGCCTCCTAACTAGCTGGGATTATAGGTGTGAATCACCAGTGCCCAGCTTACGTGTGTGTGTGTGTGTGTGTGTGTGTGTGTGTGTATGTGTGTGTGTGTGTCTGGGTGTCTGGGTCTGGCCTTGGCCTTGAACTGTAATCTCCCATCTCTGTCTCCCAAGAAGCTAGAATTATAGGCTTGAGCCATCATGTCCAGCCTTTTTCTCTGTTTTTCCTTAAACTCAGATTCAGTGACTTTCCTGGCTCTTTAAGACATTTTTCTGTTGCTGTTTCTCTGCAGCAAGTTCTTGGGGGCTCCTGACTGTTTTGGCCTCTTTGAGACAGGCCAAGGGCTGTTGTCATATTCCCAAGGCTCAGTGCTCTGGCTTCCAAACTTAGGTATAAATTCCATTGGGAGGTAGATAAAAGTGAGCCAGCTTGGTTGCTGTGTCTGACGTCACTGTGCCTGAGAACTGAGCCAGGAGTTTGCTGCTCCTGCTAGCCAGAAATATAGGTCCTGTGCCAGCGTCTTGGTTTCTCATGTCTCCCCTTGGCTGGGGCCGGGTCAGTGGGGAGCATAGTGGCCTTTGCAGGTGGTCACTGGTGAGGGGGCCTAAGGGTTCTGCCTCTGCTGCTTCCCAGGTGAGTGTGTCCATCCCTCAGACCCTTCCTGCTTTGTAGAGGAATGTCCTCTGGCATGTAGGTTAGGAAACGCAAACTAGAAAAATCCAACCAGAAACGTGGGTGCCAATGCTGTTCATGCTGCCTGAGTCTCAGGTTCCTCATGTCTAATGAATGCGTGCCCGCCCACCCGCCAGCCCAGAGCCAGAAGGGGAAAGAAAGCAGCACATAGATGGAAGCGCTGTTAAACTCAGGGCCAGCTGCCTAGGCGAGCACTTTCCTTGGAGTGGTAAAGGCAGCAGTTATCTTTTGCATCCCGTGGTCTCACATGTTTGTGTGTCTCCTGTAGTCGCATCAATGAGAAGTCTGTCTGGTGTTGTGGCTGGCTCCCGTGCACGCCTCTGCGAATTGCAGCCACAGCAGGCCACGGGAACTGCGTGGATTTCCTCATCCGCAAAGGGGCTGAGGTGGACCTGGTGGATGTCAAGGGGCAGACTGCACTGTATGTGGCTGTGGTGAACGGGCACCTGGAGAGTGCACAGATCCTTCTGGAAGCTGGTGCCGACCCGAATGGAAGCCGGCATCACCGCAGTACCCCGGTGTACCATGCCTCTCGAGTGGGCAGGGCTGACCTGCTGAAGGCTCTCATCAGGTCAGTACTGCAGTGCTTCTGCCCCTGTCCTGAGGCTCTGAGGCTCTTCCCCTCTCCCCACTCAGGGCTCGCTTGCCCCCCGTACAGTCAGATTTCTTAAGAGGACTTACATTTCCGACTAGTCTTTTAAAAGAGCTGCTTTTAAGCCTTATTACTTCTCTTTATTTTTCTGCTTAACTAATTCATTTAGATGTATTTTTTCTAACTTTTTGAGATGTACACTTACTTTTCTTTTTTGATTAACAATGTAAACTTCCAAGGTTATTAACTTACCTTTGGTTATCGTTTTGGCCCTATCTTGTGTTGTTTATTGAGTTGTCTAATTGGTTCCTTGTCAGAAATATGAACAATATTCAGGCTTAAAATTAACTGGATGCCATCCAGTGTGTTATACATAGTTTAGGACTCATCTAAGACCAGATTGTTATATTGCCCCAAATTATGAGCATTCCAGAAGAATGTGCGTAAGAATAAGGAGGGAAGGGGAGCACTGGTTATGGTGGAGCCTCACGTTGGGGTGGTTTCATGTGTTTAGACTGATGGTGTCTCAGAGTGTGTGCTGTGTATGTTTGTAATGGGCTTATTGGTCCATGACTGTGCTCAGCCCGTGCTGCCCAAAAATAGTTCTTTGTTTCCAGGGGAGGTTTTGGGTGCTGGGAATGCTGAGGAGACATTCCAGATTTTGATTGCTGGCTATGAGTGTTGGGGAGACGATGCTGTTTCCTTTCAACTGAACCTGCCCATTGGGTCCCCTTGACACTGCTTCTTACGTATTTCAAGTGAATGCTCAGGTAATTAGACAGCTTGTGAGATAACCCAGGACTGTCCTGGGCCAGTGATAACTCAAGAAAACAGATGCAGGGTGCTGAGGTCTCACCTGGAGCCAGGTTCTTCGGGGCAGAAGTGACCTCCGCTCAGGTTGCACATGACTTCAGCTTGTCCCAGACTGCAGTGTTAACATTTGCTCTTACTAAGCTGATGTCTGCTAGTTTTCCCTCTTTCTGAAATAAGCATTCTGTGGAGAGATTTCTTACAGCCATCGGTATATCCTGATCTTCATCTCAAAATCTAATTTGTTTGTTAGTAGAGTCATGGTTTCTTAGAGTGTCCAGCAACTTAGAGTCCACTGTTATGATCAGAACGTCTCAGATTTGGCCACTTTTAGAAGCTTTGAGCAGCTCTGTGGCCTTTTGTGTGGTCCCTATCATTTTTTCTGAGTTTCTTGTTTTCTCGTGTAACGCCCAACTTAGACTTTGCCTCTGTTGCCTCTGGAATGGGTGCGTTCTCCAGTGAGTTCTAGTTGTCTTCAGTGAAGGATGGTATGTAGAAACCAAGATCTAAGCCGGGTTGGTGTTGAGCTTCTGTAATCAGCTTCTCAGGAGGACTGAGAAATTGAGGACAACCAGGGCTACATCAGGAAGACCCTTGCTCAAAGCAAACACAAACGAAAAAGAGAATTACAAGCCCAGGAGGGAGGCTGTTTTCACTCTTCTCTCCAAGTAGACACAGCGTATCTACTGCATTTTTGTTTCCATGTGTCACTGAGTCAGCCCATCCCGTCTAATGTCATGGGGTGCATCCTAGGTTCTTCTTTCTTCCAGATTTATCCTCCTTTTCAGCAGTAAGGAATCTGGTTCTCTTAATCTATTGCCAGTCCCTCACAAGAAACAGGTCTGCCGCTCCCCTTCCCACACAAGCCTCCTCACCACTGGGGCTCCACTTGTGCCCAACAGCCACTTCTGTCCCTAGCAAGTACCCTGCTCACTTTGCCAGGACTCCGTCCTCTCCAGTTGACTAACCACTGTTAGGAGGAAAAGTGATTGGTCTGGGAGAGCTCTGCGTGCTGGATGGCCCTGCATTTGGACATCTTTGAAAGCATGACAGGCAATGCTGTGCTGTGGGGTCTTGTAGACACAGGCCATGGTGGCCCAGTGTCTGCCCTGTGTAAGATTGGGTTTCTCACATCTGGGCTATCCTTTGGGGTCGGGATGCAGACATAGGATTACAGGGTTATCTCCCTGAAGAGTGTGTGTGGCTGTGTAGGGCTGTGTGATGCTGCCTGCCCACCAGCTGCCCTACCTGAGGCCCTTGCAAGCGAGCCTGACGCTGTTGTGTGCTGTCAGCCTGTTAGCAGTGAGTCCGGTGCTGACTGTGCCTGAAAAGGAGGATCATTGAGCCGGGAGTCCACAATGACACAGATAGGCACACAATTGGGTCCATCTGCGAAACAAGGGGTGTTAAAAATACCCAGCTGCCAGCCTTGTCTTCTTTGACCTGTTCTCTCCCTGCTCCAAGGTCTGTGGTTTGTCTTCTCATAGCTGTACAGTGCTGCTGCTTATGAATGAGCCAGCTAGTCCCTTGTTGGTAACTGTGGTTGATCTTTTGCAAGACCTGATTTTCTTCCCTTCTGCAGATATGGGGCCGACGTTGATATCAATCACCACCTGACTCCTGATGCCCAGCCCCCTTTCTCAAGGCGGCTCACCTCTTTGGTGGTCTGCCCCCTGTACATCAGCGCAGCCTACCACAACCTGCAGTGTTTCAGGCTGCTCCTGCAGGCAGGGGCAAATCCTGACTTCAACTGCAATGGCCCCGTCAACACGCAGGAGTTCTACCGGGGCTCTCCTGCGTGTGTCATGGATGCTGTCCTGCGTCACGGCTGTGAGGCAGCCTTTGTGAGTCTTCTGGTAGAGTTTGGAGCCAACCTGAACCTGGTGAAGTGGGAATCACTGGGCCCGGAGTCCAGGGGTAGGAGGAAGGCGGACCCGGAGGCCTTGCAGGTCTTTAAAGAGGCCAGAAGTAAGTGGGGGGCTCAGTTTTCACCTGCAGTTTGTCTTGACTGACGCAATAAGATGCAGGGTTACTTAAAGACAAAGGGAACAAACTCTCGTTAAGCATTTGATCAAACTCTTTAGTTAGGACTAGCAGTTTTCCAGAATAGCTGTTCAGACTGGTCTATTTTGCAGTTCCTAAGCACCAAGAGCTGACATCAGGAAAGTATAAAAGTATATGTATGTTTTTCCAAGTTCCTGAAGTTGTATTCCCTGTACCATTCTGCTCTTATTTGTGACCTTAGATTTTTAGAGACCATGACTTCTTGCATACTCTCCTTGCTGCCCCTTGGAGCAGGAGGAGGGAGGAAGTACTAGAGGAGGTGCAGGGTCCTCACTTGCTAGGCAGATGCTCTACTGCTTGAGCTACACCCCCAGCCCTTTTTGCTTAGTTACTTTTTCAGTGGGGTCTTGAGTGTACTCCTTGACCAGTCTGGGCTGTGACCTCCTGCTTACATCTCCCGTGTGCTTGGGGTGACAGGCACCAACCACTGTGCCCACCTTCTGTTGTTGAGAATGGTTCTTCCTGACCTCCTGACCTCTGAGTGGTTAGAATTACAGGCATGAGCTGCTGCTGCTCCAGGCTTTCCATAGGCTTTAAAGGAGGATAGTAGTCGCCCCCGTTTTCTCGGGCTCCTCACTCCCTTCCTTCAGTCCCACTCAACTCCATTCATTTGGGTCATACAAAAATGACAAGTCCAGTTTTTATTAGAATGAAATCTAGAGTTTGCTTATTTTTGAGGAAAGAGTTTACTAAGGAATTTTTAAATCAGGTGGTGGTACATGCTTGTAATCTCAGCTGCTTGGGAAATGGTGATGGGAGAGTCAAGATCAGAAGCCAGCTTGGGCAAGAGTTATCATGAGACCCTGCCTGAAAACCAAACTAAGTGCAAAGCATTATGGCCTAAGTAGTAGAGCACGTGCTCAGAGTTCAAACCCTAGTACTGCCCCAACCCCTCAAAAGAAAAAAAAAAAATGAATGGAGTTTGGAGTTGATCAGTGATTTGGCTTTCTTCCCATGGTTTTCTCTGGGATCCAGAATCCGTCTTGTGTCCTCTGTGATCTCCATCTCATTTCCTGCCTGGAGTTTTAGGGCATCCGAGTCCATAGCTTCTTCCCTAATGTGTTAACCTCCAACAGAACATTAACTTCAGTGTTTTCCTTGTTGAACTCACCTAAATCAGTTCACCGGAACATGTGTGGGTGAGTAGTGAGGTAGGAGTGTGCTGATAGAATGAAGCCGCCTCTGCTTGTGAGGGTGTACCGGTAGACTCTTTGTCCGGCCTTGGCTGTGTCTTGCTGACCTGGAGTTTTTGTACTGCTCAGTCTGTGCCCCTTCACTCCCTTTGAACCTTCTGGGACTGACCAGGGGTGGTGGTCTGCTGCTCCCACTTGCTCTAGAGCCAGAAACTCACAGAGGAGGAGATAAGCCAGAGGAGTTGGCAACATGACTTTGCTCACAACCTGCTTCTTTGGCTCAGACGAAGAGGTTGGTGTGCACAGTCATGCAGTTCTGACCATCACAGCCAGCCTTGGCCTGCACAACTGGCATGGAAATGAACCTTCTTGTCTCCCTTTCTTTCCATGGCTCTCCAGGTGTACCCAGGACCTTGCTGAGTTTGTGCCGCGTGACTGTGAGAAGAGCTCTTGGCAAATACCGACTTCACTTGATTCCCTCGCTACCTCTGCCAGACCCCATAAAGAGGTTCCTTCTCCATGAGTAGAGTTCAGCTGTGGTGGCTTATTGCAGTGAAGAAGAGGCCACTCTGCCGGAAGGGTTGACACCGCTGACTCGTGAGCCACGTCCTGTGCTGCCACCTGTCCTTAGCTGTTGGAGAAGCAGAAATGGCCTTGTCCTTGTGGATTGTAATCCTCTCTCAGGTGCTGGGGCATTGTCAGCGAAAGGCTCATACAGAACTTTGGTCTTTGAAAACCTCTCTTTCTGCCCTTGCAGATGAATGCTACGGGCCATGACATGTGTGAAGTGTGGGTTGAGCTGGAGGTCTGTTGATAGCCCCAAGTAGGGAAGAGTCTTAGCACTTTCCAGAACCATGCTTCCATTTATTTTTCTACTTTACTATTTAATTGCTCTATTAAAGCCTGATATCTGAAGTGCAAGATTTTAGTAAAAAAACCCAAAAAACAAAAAACACCAAAACAGGTGGGGGGCTGAAATGCAGTTTGTGAACTTGCTAGCTTGTTTTCCTTCCTGCCACTACAGTGTTCTCTCCTGTGAGCTGTCTTCACTCGAGGATGGTTGGACATGCGATCTGAGTCTCAGTGTGGGGAGGTCAGGGTGCTGTGTCATCACACAACACAGCACCTGTTCTCATACCTCTGTGCCTCGGGTCACACCAACAGAGCTTGGGTTATTCTGTTGTTTGATTTCCAGACAGGGAGTTTCCAGACAGTGATTGATTTTTGGAGGCCTACATGAACTAGCCAGTAAATGACTGCTTGCATGTAGACCAAGGACTTTTCCCAACAGCATTCACTGCCAGTTCTAATGGAAGATGACTGCTGAGACACTCTCTTCAGTCCCTCACATACCAAGAGGTGGAAAATTAAGTTGGTCTCCTGGGTGCTTCCAAGCTTTGTTCTTAGACCAAACGTCTGGTGACTGGTTGATTGCTCTTCCCTTTGTGGGATCCTAAATGGTAGCTGCTCCAAGGGTCTTAAGAAAGGGGATAGCGGTGGTGCCAGAAGTCTTTTCCTGATGTTCCCAGGGCTGGAGGTAGATGGGAGAGATGACATGTTACTGCAGGTGCTTCGGGCTGTGTGGGGGAGGCTTGCTCTCCACCCAGCACTATGAATCCAGGTGAGAGGGTCATTAGCAGGTGGGCCGGGGACCACTGCTGTTTCCGGTGAACTCTTGAAGCCTCTGGTTCTCTGTGCCTGTGGTTCTCTGGTGATTCCAAACTTTAGGAATGTTTAGGAATGAGATCTCAGATCTGTAATTCTGTTAATTATTAGCGTCTGTTAGTTATTAGCGTCTGTGTGATGCTGCTGGCACAGGCAGTGGTTGGCCTTTGTGTTCTGGGTTTCAGGATAGAATCCCGACACCCTCCAGCCCCCAGTTGTAGGAGTGCAGGAACACTGAGCTGACCCCTCTCCTCCTACAGCTGGAGCGAGGGCCAGAGGAGCAGAACTGTCAGGGGGTCCTGAGGAGAAAGAGCCCTTGGAGGGCTTGTGCAGCCGAGGGATGTGGCTGTAGGCAGGGACTGTGTCTGAGTGTGGGCTGGGTTCCTGAGGCCTGGACCGGGCTTGGGCTTGGGTCTGACTGAGGTCAGAAAGCCTGCCTAGGTGTGGAATGATGAGGGCCGCTTGCTGCAGAGCTTGGGGTTACTGCTGTCTGTGGACTCGGGTGGGACTGGGACTTGCTGTTTGGGAGGTGGGGTGGTGGTGCAGAAGCTCGCCCTGGCTACAGGCGCACCAGCACTCCGAAGGCCTGTCCTCCCTGCGGATGGCCAGCCATGCAGATTACATTGGAGGCTTTCAGGAGTGAGACTCCTCACTCCACTTTGAGCTCGGGGCTGCTTTCCTGTTAGGCTTCTCAGTTCTGCCCTTTGGCTCAGGGGAGGAGAAAGCAGGCTTTCTCCAGGTGAGCTGGCGCAGCAGAAGCTGCCCTCTGCCCTTGGTGGTAGGGTGTCTGTTCTCAGGCCTTCTGGTGAGTCAGGCATGTGCTGTGTCTTTCCTTCAAGGGTGTGGACCCATTTCCTATGGCTCTCAAAGACTGTTCTGATTGTTCCTTGAAGTTGAGCCTTGCCTCGGCCTGACCAGGGACTGATGTGTCTGGGAGTGGGTGAGCTGGGCTGGAGGCCTGCTTTGGGTCTTTTGTGGGTGTGTGCTGTTCTCTACCTGGCCAAGGCCACAGCTTTTCACTTGGGGAGGCTACGGTCAGCATCTCTTCTGCTAGGATTTTCAAAACCCTACACTTTGAGGTTCACTGACTATTGAAATGTCACAGCTGAAAACAGTATAGATAGCTGACTACGGTCATTCTTTCTTGTTCCTAGTGATTCGCTTTACCAAAGTGCCCCTGGTCCTGGGCTGTCAAGGGGAGGGTCTAGGATAAGGCAGAGTCCTTGTGCACTGGAGCACTTCATGACTCATGTTTCCCAGCCTGATGCCCACATCCCACTGAGCAAGGACACATAGTGGTGCTTGCTGAGGCTGCTGCCCCTGTCCAGAGCTGGCCCCAGAGAGCTGCTCAGTGGTCCAGAGGGAGGAGTGCATTCCAGGAGCATGTGTCTGGCTGTTCTACCCTGGGGCAGCTGCCGGCCTCGATGGAGCCCTCACTGTGGGCAGTGAAGTGGCGGGGACAGAGTCTGGGCACGTGTTAACATTTCAGGTCAGTCGAGTCCTAGCTTTTACCTTCCCAGAAGTCCCTTGGTGTCATATTCTATGACTTTTCATTTCACTTGTTACTGTTTGTTTGTTTATTTATTTATTTCTATTTTGCCTTGTTCAGAAAAGAGTTTAAAGGCAGAATGCTTGCTTGGTCGTGATCATGGGGAAGCTTGAGCGACCCACAGGTGCACCAGCCATGCTGGAGGGGCTGTTAGCTGTTAGGCCAGAGTACTTGTTGAACAGGTAATGATGATTTTCTGATGTTGACTGTGTTTGTTGTCAGACTTGGGGGATGTGTGTGCGTGTGCGTGTGTGTGTTTGCGCGCGCATGTGTGTGTGTGTGTGTGTGTGCTGGCACCAGGGCTTGGACTCAGTAGCTTTTTGTCCTCTAGCTCGGCACTACTACTTGAACTCCATCTCCAGCTCCATCTCTGTCCCAGGCATTCATGTGCCATCTGGATTCTTCCCATAAAAAGTTCATGCAAGAAGCGGCGGCACACAACAGAAAGCAAGCGTGCTCCTGCCTGTGCACTGCTGCTGCCTCCTGCCTTCAGGGCGCAGGGAGCACTTTCCACTGTGTCTCTCACACTTCTTTTTTCTTTTTTTTGTCGATCATGGAGCTTGAACTCTGGGCCTGGGCGCTGTCCCTCAGCTCTTCAGCTCTTGAGTCACAGTGCCACTTCTGGTTTTCTGGTGGTTTATTGGAGATAAGAGTCTCACAGACTTTCCTGCCCAAGGGTGGCTTTAAACCGCGATCCTCAGATCTCAGCCTCCTGAGTAGCTAGGATTCCAGGCCTGAGCCACCAACGCCCAGTGTCTCTCACACTTTTTGATGAGGTCCTACAAGAAGACGTGCACACAGCACTTGGTACAGAGCCGTCTCCAGTTCATGGGTACTGCTGTCTGTTGTCCCTTTCCTAGTGGAAGTGCTTCTACTGACCTGGAGACGGGGCTGGGCCGTGTGCCCTGTAGAGTAGCTGGAGTCACGGCGCAGCCTGTGCAGGTGGGACATGGAAGGGCGTCGTGGTCAACACAAAAGGACAGCATTGACTTTATTCTGAGATCCTGTCCTTTCTCACTGGATGATGCCATTCCTTTTATAGCACGAAGGTGGTAGTGAGGTCGTGCTTTTCCTTGGCTGCCCTTCCTCTGGGATTTCTCTTTAAGTCTACAGGTTGATGAAATCGCGTAGTGTATGTTTACGCATTGATGAGAGATTCTTGGGTTCTTAGTCTGGGTGCTGGTGAAGGGTATTGCAACACTTTTGCCCCCTCTGCCTGAGATCACAGCACGGCCTGAGAAGCTCAGACATCCTTTGTGGGCCTGTGGGGCGCAGTCATGGAGCCGCTCAGAGGAAGCTAGTGTGTCTCTCTCAGTGAGGAGGTGCTGTGCTCAGGCTCTGGCAGTCTGTGGCAGCCTGAGCGTTGGCTATGGCACCAGGGGTGAGGCTGCAGGTGCCAGGGCTGCAGGTGACTGCTGGACAGACACTGACCAGTCCTGACTTCTGCCGGTGGGGAAGAAATGCCTCCTTTGACCACCGCACCTCCTTTTTATGTTCTTTGCTCACGTGGCCTGACTCCCCTCCTCCCCACTTCCCTCAGTGGGCAGTGACTGTGCTGATGTGCATGGTCAGTGGGATTAATGTCCTACCCCAGAAGCAGCCCAGACTTCGATTTGCACAGTGACGTATGGACTGTACCATAAATCCAGGGTAGCAGAGAGAAAGAGGGAGGGTGTAGAAGGGGCAGACTTGTGTTGCCTTAATATGTATTGCTCAGTGTCTGGCATGCCTCAGGTGCATTTCTTTTTTAAGCTGTTTTGAACTCAAGATCAGTCTAGATACATGAGTGTGCATAAATCTGGTATGAGCATGACATTTATCAGTAGCTCTCTGGCACTTACAGAACTGAGTTTGCTTCTGTTCTGTAGCCGGTAGGGCCGGCTCCTCCCTGAGGGGTCTGCAAAGCCCCCACTTTGTGTTGGGTGCTGAGCCTGGTGAGGGTCGGCCTGCACTGGGGTCTGAGCCTAGTGACATGTTGAATTGGATGCTTACCACCCACCCTCCATTTCCCGTCCTGCTTTGGTCTGAGTGGGTGTTTGTCTGCAATGGCTGGGGTCAGCACTGCTTTTGCTCTTGTGCCTAATTTAAGAGTTTTCCAAAGTATGGTGGACATTTTGATACATTCTAACTTTAATAAATATTATTCCCTTCTAATTCCTTCCTCTCAATGCCTTAAGGATGTGGTAGTCAGTGTCTGTTGATGAGTAGAAGCTTCTTGACCATGTGAAGTCTTGGTGTGCACAGTTGAAGAAGGGACCGACTCTGGATGGTTTCCAGGGATCCAGGGGACATTGGGGCTCTAGAAGGCCCCCGGACATTGGTCTTACACTGCCTGGCAGCCTTTCTCACTTAGTGGTGTGGCTTCTGGATCGGAGAGATTGGGCCCCTAAAGCTATCTGCAGCTCCTGGCTTCCCAGCCTTTAGCATTGTACAGCATTCTTCGGGTGGGATGGAAGCGCTGCGTTCTGGCCCTGCTGTTTTATGTGCATGGTTTACCAGGAGAAGGGTGAAGGTGTGGGGATGCGGGGCAAGCCCCACAGTGAATGGATGAGCTGAATAAAGATACTTATTCATCTGAGTGGTTCACGGGCGTGTCCTCTGTACCTACCTGCTGGTCCGTTCTCCATTTCTTACCTCTGAGCCTCTCTCCATGTCTCCTGGGCTGAGGAAAGGAGGGCTGGGTCACAGGTTGCCTCTGT